TGGGGTAAGCCAGACCCAAGAGTACATGAATGTTATGTACTGACTTATAAATGGTTATTACAAATAACACAAAGGATAACCATTCTAATATCCATAGACCAAAGCACCCAAATAACTAAGAGGGCCCAAGGAAGGCTGGTTGAATTTTTCTCATAAGATTTCAGTGGTGGATAGTGGAAGGGAACTGGGTGGGAGAAGAAATGGAGAAGGAAGTTGGGGGTGGGGTAGGAGGGACAGGTGGAGGGAAAGCAGAGGAGAGAATGGAAACTGGCAGTTTAGGGTTCCAGAAGGCATCTCTAGGATCTGGCAGGAACCTGGGACAGGGGGAACCCGCAGGATGACTATTACAAGAGTCTAGCTAAAATCATTATCAACAATAGAAAATTTGGGGTGGTAAACATCTCAGTAACAATTACATGTGTTATTACACTGAACTGCTGGAGCTGCAAAGACTATAGATAGTGGCCTAAGCCAATTACAGTCTGCCATGGCTCTCTGGGCCTAGCATAATGCCCAGTTGACCACTTTTCTCTTGGATGACTGTGAAATCCTGAAACTGGTGTCTTCACTTTCTAAGTACCATGAATATAGTAGGCCTGTGCCAGCATGCCTGGTTAAGGTGGCTTCCACTTCAAAGAGTAAAGCATTAGAATTACAGCATGTGTAAGATGAGCAGTTTTACGTAAGTATATCCAGAAGCAACTTAACTCTGTGAGCCTCAGTTTCACCATCTGTAGAGTAAGGGTAGAAATCTGCCCTAGTTTTTGTGAATTATAACAGATGCCATGATAAATCCAAACAATACTGCTCTTAGTTGGAAGACAGTGGATTTTCAGTAGAAGAGGTACATATGATGGGAGAATTCTGTTACTAGTGTTAAGACTAGAGCCTGTGACCTAACTACCCTAACAAACTAGGCTGAACCATTCACTGTCATTAAGCCAAAAGAAAATGTGTTATCTAGCAGCAACATGCCCACCTATATATAATACATGTTTCCTCCTAAGACTGAACTGCAGCATTATGAAGGGAGACATTTTCTTATTATTCAATTTGTCCTGTCTTCTTCCATCCTCAGATGACAATAGTGTACAATCTAAAACAAAGACAGTATTTTACTGATGTAATCTTTCACCTAATCTCATGTGAGTATCAGTGAGAAGGCTCAGTCTCAAAGGTCTGTGGCGAGCAAGACTGCCAATCTGACCTTGATCTCCATATAATGGCCAAAACTAGAACCCAGAAAGTTGTCTTCTAGTCTCACCATATCTATAGTTGCCTAAAAAACCATCACCACATTCTCTACACACCCAAGTCTAAAAAATTTTAAAATATACCTCACTACACTTAACATCATCCTAAATCTGCAGATAATTTCTTAGAAGGCAGTAGTTCAAGATTTAGTCCAACTGTATTACTCATGGCCCATGAAGAAGCATGGGCTGCTAAATTTTATATATATATATATATATATATATATATATATATATATATATATATATATGATTATTATACATTATTACATCTCTATGAGATAGATGAATATGATGCTTTGGATATACACCTAGGTATTTAATGTTCTTTCTGTTTCCATCTATTAAGCATTTTGACATTAATATTATTAAAATCGTGTTGACAAAACAGGACACAGTGAGCATACATCTTCTAACCCTGGACTTGTACTCAGAAGGCTGACACATGAAAATCAAGGGTAAAAACATAACCCTGAATAATGACTGACACCCAAGCCAGGCTGCATAACATACAACAACATATCAAAAGGAATTTGTGAAAATATAAAAAACAAAATAAAGCCCGCAATGCTTTCATCAGCAACCTTACTTGAAATGTATGATCATTCATATCCTGATATTTAAATAAACAATGGACCTCTTAGAAGATGAGTATCCAACTCATTAATTGCAGCAGAAAAATATTTATCACTAAGCAAAGTGGAATTAAAGATGAACAGAAGCTACAAAAGGAAGTAAAAAACAGCCTAGTAAAGATCTGTAAATGGATTTGATATGCGTAGAAAAAAATTTAATATTTATTCCAAATGTTTGAATATACAAAGCACAAGTACAACTGGAGATCTCTACTTGAGTGAACATGGAGAAGAATTTACTTCCTCCAAGGCTATAATGAAGATGAGATGAAACAGGATGTTTTACTTGAAATTCAAAACGTCTGTGATGTCTATAGTCTATAACCAAGTTATTAGCATGGATAGGGTTTTTCTCTTCTATGATTTTTTTCCATTTCCTGATGTCAAGATGACGTAAAACACTTCAAAATACATCTCTAGAAACGTGGCCAAGTAACAAACGTTCATTGCCAGGAACAATGTCAGGGTTTGACATCTTTCTTTAACTCCTGCTATAAGAAGATACAACAGTCTAATTTTCTTGGAAATCAGCACACACATGCACTCACACGAAGACGCAGACAAATCTCATATTTAACATTAAAAGAAGTTGGTGAACAAAGACAATTTTACTCATGATGTTCTTGTATAAACATTCATTATTATGTCCCAGGAGTTGAGGCATCTGAAGGTGAACCCACTGAGTTTTTCTTCATCATGGATTGGCTCTTGTAACAGAAAGCAAGCATATAGCCTTGGTGGCAGAGAAATAAACTCTTCTTACTTGTATGTGTCATTTGGAGAGATTTAGCTGATATTCCCCTGCTGGAGAAAATATGCCACTGAGGGCAGACTTGAGAGTTTACCTCCTTACACCATGTCCAGTTTCCAACTATTTTTTAAAATTAATTAATTTATTTATTTGAGTACACTATAGCTGTCTTCAGGCACATTAAATCCCATTACAGATGGTTATGAGCCACCATGTGGTTACTGGTAACTGAATTCAGGACTTTTGGAAGAGCAGCTACTGCTCTTAACCACTGAGCCATCTCTCCAGCCCGTTTCCAACTCTTTAATGCTATACATTGAAGATGTGTGCTCTGAGCTCCATCCTTTACCTTCCACATATGACACTTATTGCCCAGACACTTTCACAGTGTCCTCATATCCCTTTGGAATTCTAAGGCAATTTAAATGTTTTAAAAAGTTGTCTTCATGCTGAGGTTTAGTCTGTATAGTCATGTAGGTTTAGGTTTGCTATGTACTGTAACGCTAAGTGTAGTTCCCTAAAACCTGGTTGCCCCAGAAAGTAGAAAGTCCATCCATTTACCTTGTGACTTTGCTCTCTAGTTAATTCCCATTGGTGAACAAAGATGACAGCTATCAATACTTGAGCAGAAGAGACACATACAGGGTATAGGGATATTGGATTTGGGTATGGAGGAAACATAAGGATTAAAAGTTGATAGAGAAAAGGCATCCTTAGGTTAGGTCGATGATAAAATAATGGCCATGTGAAATGACTAATTTGAGTTAAGAACAGTCCAGATGAAACAAAACAAACTATATGATAAAATTCTTGGCTACAAAAAGACACAATAGCATAGAGGATAGATATCTACCTATCTCCTCTGCTGATTAAATATAAAGGTTGCATGTGTCTTTTACCTGGAAAATAAATGGTCAAAGGCAGGGTAGAAACCCTGGCTTAGGGATATTTTACCACATCAACAAAAAAGGCACTAATATGAACCCATAAAATTTACACCTGAATAAGTTATGTCATGGACTTAAAGTGAACTGTGAAATTTAAACCTTATCAATGAAAATCATAGGGCTTTTGTCCCTATGAGTTTACAGGTACAAACAAAATAGAGACATCATACTTGAGCAGACTTGCTACAGTTTTTCTCAAGAATGAATAATTTTTTGTAACTTAATGTAAGTGGGTTGACTAAAGATCATACCAAGTCCATCAGTCATAGACTGTTTTAATTTTGAGTTCTTCTAGATCATAAAAGACTACTGTGACATGAATCACACCTGCTAAAGGTTTTACTCTTACATAAAGATACCACAAAGTGCAAAATTTTACCACATTGACTACATTTATAGGTGTTCCCTGCAGCATTCATTTTTCTCATGATTTCAAAAATGACCAGTACATGAACAAGCTTTACCACATTGCTTACGTTCATGAGGTTTTTCACAAGGTTGTGTCATTTTATACATTAAGTGATAAATGTCACCTGCAAAAGCCTTACCACACTACTCACACAGGGTTTCTCTCTCTGGCGTGTTCTTTTATGTATTCTGCGGTATATTATGTTCTCTTTTATGTGTTCAAAGATGACTGTGATATGCAAATGTTTACCACATGATGTACATTCATAAATTCTTTCTATGCGTGTTTTTGTGTATGTCTCTTTGTATCTCCAGTATGTGCTCCTTGCTGCATTAGAAGATAACTGTGCTGGGTGTAGGCTTTATCATACTGCTTATATTTAGGTTTCTTGCCAATACAAGTATGTTCATGACAACTAAGACTATGATCATATTCATAAGGTTTCTCTCCAGTATGTCATCTTTTATGAATTTGTAGATTATAATGTTGGGAAAAAGCTTTGTCACATAGATTACATTTGTAGGGTTTCACTCCAATATGAATGTTTCCACGCCTTTTAAGATTACTGTGGTTTGTAAAGGTGTGACCATATTGATTACATTTGAAAGGTTTCTCTCCAGTATGTATTCTTTTATGTATCTGGAGACTATTATGTTGGAAAAGGCTTTATCACATTCATCACATTTGTAGAGTTTCTCTCCAGTATGAATTCTTTTATGCCTTTGGAGACTAATATGTTGGGAAAAGGATTTGTCACATCAATTACATTTGTAGGGTTTCTCTCCAGTATGTATTCTTTTATGCTTCTGGAGGTTACAGTGTTGTGAAAAGGCTTTACCACACTCATTACATTTGTAGGGTTTCTCTCCAGTATGAATCCTTTCATGCATGTGAAGACCCAAGGAATGTACAAAGGCTTTACCACAGTGATTACATTTGTAGGGTTTCTCTCCAGTATGAATTCTTTTATGTGTCTTGAGATTATCAAGTCGTGAAAAGGCCTTATCATTCATTACATTTGTAGGGTTTCTCTCCAGTGTGAGTTCTTTTATGTGTCTTGAGCCTATTTTGTCGTGAAAAGGATTTATAACATTCATCACATTTGTAGGGTTTCTCCCCGGTATGAATTCTTTTATGCCTTTGGAGACCAAGATGTTGAGAAAAGGCTTTGTCACACTGATTACATTTGTAGGGTCTCTCTCCAGTATGTATTCTTTTATGCTTCTGGAGGTTACAGTGTTGTGAAAAGGCTTTATCACATTCATTACATTTGTAGGGGCTCTCTCCAGTATGTGTTCTTTTATGTATTTGGAGAGTACTGTTTTGGGAATAGGCTTTGCCACATTGATTACATTTATACGGTTTCTCTCCAGTATGAACACTTCTATGTGTCTGGAGGCTGCCTTGTTGTGAAAAGGCTTTATCACACTGATTACATTTGTAGGGTTTCTCTCCAGTATGTATTCTCTTATGTATCTTGAGGTTACAGTGTTGTAAAAAGGCTTTATCACACTCATTACATTTGTAGGGTTTCTCTCCAGTATGAATTCTTTTATGTATGTGAAGAGTCCGGGGGTTTAAGAAAGCTTTACCACACTGACCACATCTGTAGGGTTTCTCTCCAGCATGAACTCTTCTGTGTGTCTGGAGGCTACCTTGTTGTGAAAAGGATTTATCACATTCATTACATTTGGAGGGTTTCCCTCCAGTATGAATGCTTTCATGACTTTGAAGATGACTGTGTTTTGCAAAAGCTTTACCACATTGATTGCATTCATAGGGTTTCTGTCCAGTTTGTGTTCTTTTATGTATTTGGAGACTTGTGTAAGGTACAAAGGCTTCAACACACTGAATAACTTCAGAGGGTTTCTTTTCTGTATGAATCCTTTCATGCCTTTCAGCATCACTATGAGCATGTAAAGCAAAGGCTTTACCACACTGAGTATATTCAGAGGGTTTCTCTGCACTCTGACTTCTTTCACGCCTGAGAAGAAAATTGGCACATGTAAATGCTTTACCACACTGCTGAATACTCTTGTCTGTAAGAATTAATGGTACTATTTGTCTAAATATAAAGAGGAATCGTATCTTAAGATTTTAATACTTTGTTTACATTCCTGCTGTTCCCCTTCCTTATGGGTTGTTTTTCATTTTCAAAGATACCTGAGATTGTTTGAGCATTTATTATACAGCTCAGTTTACATATTCTTTTTGAATAAAAGTTTTTCTCACACTTGTTGAAAAGTGGAAGAATTCAGAGCTTTAACACATTAACTGTATTCCAATTTTTACTATACCATGTATCATATTATATTTGCAAAATGAACCAGGAGAAATACAAGCATTTCCACATTCCTAATACTAAAGAGAATTTTCTACAGAATGGGGTTGCTGATGTATTGCCAATGAAATTGGAAAAGCAATTAACTGTAAACTTGTATCATGTTCAAAAAGTCTACACTAACTGCCATCCACTATAGGTCTTCTACTTGTTATTGAGAAAGAGGGGGGGGAAGGGAGAGAGGGGG